ACACACACACACACACACACAGAGACTGCAGTCGGCTGTTGGATGTGGCTAGTGGTTGGCCGGCGTCACGGGTAGGCCGTGAGATGCGGGCACAGTGATTGGCATGCAATGTTCGACCGTCGACACCTGAACGATGCACAAAGATGGGAGATTCAGGTCAGTGGCCCCCTTCCCCCCCCGCCAAGAACCCCCTCCTCTTCCTCCTCCCCCCCTCGGCTCCATCCCCTCCTCCGCCGTTCCCTGCCGCCAGCGCTCCCCTTCTCTCTCCTCCACCAGCGCACACCCCCGCCAGCGCTCCCCTCCACTCCCCTCCGCCAGCACTCCTCTCCACCAGTGCTCCCCTCCACTCCCCTCCTCCCTTCCGCCAGCGCTCCCATCCACTCCCCTCCTCCCCTCCCCCAGCGCTACCCTCTACTCTCCTTCTCCCTTCTGCCAGTGCTTGCCTCCACTCCCCTCCTCACCTCCGCCAGCACACCTCTCCACTCCCCTCCGCTCGCTCCCCTCCACCTGTGTTCCTTGCGCTCCCCTCCGCCAGCGCTCTGCTTCGCTCCCCTCAACCAGCACAACCCCCGCCAATGCTCTCCTCCGCCAGCGCTCCCCTCCACTCCCTCTTGGCCGCTCCCCTCCGCCTGCACTCCCCCCCTTCCTCTGCTGCCCTTCCACCTATCGGCTGCTCCTCCGGCTCTTCCCCCTCCTCCGCCGCTCTCCGCCCCCCAGCTGCTCCATCTCCACCTATCCACCGCCCCTCCGCCCCCTTCCCCGCCGCTTTTCGCACCAGTGCTCCCGTCCGCTCCCCTCTGCCAGTGCACCCCTTTGTCAGCGCTCTACTGCGCCAGCGCTCTCCTGCACCTGCACCTGCACTCCTTTCCACTCCCCTCCGCCAGTGGTCCCGTGCGCCTGAGCTCCTTTCCACTCCCCTCCGCCAGCGCTCCCCTCCACACCCTCTGCCACTCTTTTCCCACCAGCCACCTCTGCCTGCTCTCCCCTGCAGTCCCCTCCGCCGGCGGCTGCCCCTCCGCTTTCCCGCCTCCGCTAGAAAAAAGAAAACATGTTAGGCGCGCACTCTGAGAGAGAGAGAGAGAGAGAGAGAGAGAGAGAGAGAGAGAGAGAGAGAGAGTTCCCGCAGCCATTGAAAGAAAGGAGATTGCGCGCGGGGTTTCTTCCCGCCGCTGTAGGAAAAAAAATAAAATTAGGGCTTGCAAAGAAAGACAGAGAGAGAGAGAGAGAGAGAGAGAGCTTCTCCCGCCTTCGTCGTCGCCCTTCCCCCAAGCATCCGACTACCCCCACCCGAATATAACTAACTGCCACCTTCCCCCCTCCCCCGTTATCAAGTGTGCTATCCGTTCCGATCGGTTTCATATGTGATCCGTGGTCCATGGGGAACCTTCTTCTTTTGAAAAAAGACGCACG